AATATTAAAAGGCTTTTTCCCAAGATTTTTGTTCAAGTATACTAATAATTATTACAAATAAATGCCTTAAGTGCTCTTTTAAAGGAGAAAGGTGAGGAAGCGTTGATGATGTTGGTGTTTAAGGTGTTGTAAAATTTAGGTCCTTGATAAAAAACGGAAAATTGCTTGGTTCGAGTACGACAGAAAGGCAGACGAAATTTACACGAGTTTCTTGTATTATACGAATGAATTTGACTTTGTAAGGTAAATTCACAATGAAATTTTAAAGGTAGAGTATGGTTTTGATAGGAGTACATGAATAAGCCTAGTTGTATTAAGTATATATCATGAAATTTTAAGATACCAAGATTTTGAAAGATTGGATCAGTATGTGCATCGAAAGTGGTTTTAGCTATAGTTCTGATCACTCGTTTCTGTAAAATCTCAAGACGAATAAGGTTAGTTCTGTAAGTAGAGGCCCAAACTAAGTTGCAGTAAAAAAGGTATGGATAGACTAGAGAAAAATATAGTGTTCGTAAGGTTTTCGTGGATAAATAGAAACTGGATTTACGAATAATTCCTGTGCATTTAGAAACTTTATTGGCGACATGTGAGATTTCAGATTTCCAATTTAAATTTTCATCCATGATTACTCCCAGGAAAACTGTTTCTTTTACTTGATCAATTTTTTGACTATCAATTAAAAGTTGAATAGTTTGATTTGTACGCTTTTGGGATGGTTTAAATGCAATGAATTTGGTTTTTTTCAAGTTTAATATATTAGTTTAATATTTTAGTATTAATTTGGTCAGCTCCAGTAAAACAATCAGATCTCCAGTTTTTAAGCTGTTTCAGCAATTCACAATAGGTGACAGGATGATGGTCGAATGAGCCTGTGGAACTATCAGATAGTGAGTTGATAAGTTCTTGTAAAATGTGTGGAGAGTTTGGTGTTGATCCTAGCAAGCATTGTGAGGTGGAAGTAAAGTGGTTGTTCAACAGATCAGGGTCCGCTTTCAGGGGCTAAGTGTGAGGATGACGAACATGATGAATCACCAGCCAGAGCTCTTTGGGTTTCCTCAATAACAAGGCTTTCTGATAAAACAACCCCTTTACTTGTTTAATCATTGTCTTCTCGAAATTTACTCTAGATATCAACTGAATTGCTCTTATGAGCAAGATATAGTAGCTCGTTTTTTTCGCTTTGGAGCTGTGTAATGTTGTCTGTGTTTAATCATGGGCAGGAAGGCGGGTGATCTTCGTTCTGTGTAGTGGAGCATGTGTGTCTATGCATGACTTCAACATCCAATTAAAGATGTCTAGTTGCTGTTCTGCATCACCAGTGCTAAATAAGAGGCTAAATGGAAGTTTAGACAAGTCCTCTTTAAACACTTTTCATCAAAAAGTTTTTCATTTCAAACAAGTTCGAATCATGGCTCTACAATTACAAACACTTAAACATTTCTACAATTGTGATTAAAATGTTCACTGTGCAGCAAAAACTGTTTTTTTCCTTATTTTCTTCGAGCTCCCGATAACTGAACCTTTTTTCCATTTCCCTTGAAGGTTCAAGTTATCGAGAGTTTACTGTAGTTAGAAATTCAGCTATTTCATCTTTGGATAGTCGTGAATGTCTTTTTCTTTTCAGTTCACTCACGAATGAACAGTTAGACTTCCACGCCTGGAAACAAGGTTGATTGATGGTATATCATTTATACCATCAAATCGATGGTATATTGCTTGCATCTTCCAAATATGGTAAGTGCCAGTTTGATATGAAGAATTAGCTGGGGTATTAGGGCCAATCAGAAATGGCAACATTGTTTGAATTTTGAAAGAATAATAATTGACTTTATCAATTTTATAGTTAATTGGCAATAAAGGTATATAGGCATAAGGTTTAAGGAACAAGTGAAGGTTTATATTTTAGTGGCTTGTCAGTCAAGATTAGAATCTTAAACAACAAGAAAGGTATATAGTGTTTCAGTGCCCCAGTGGCTCTTGAGTCGGGACTGACAAGCCACCAAGACTCTTGAATGATAAGGTCATTTTATCGCACTAACGAGCCACCAAGTCCCTCAAAAATCCAGAGCAAAATAAAAATATTCAGGATCTAAACACCGATTATGATTCTTACCTGTTCTTTTTAACTTTAGCCTCTGCCGAAGGCATATTTTCCAAACAGTTTGGGCAGTAGTAAGAATCGACCTTAAAAAAATAAAAACGATAGCAATGAAGTCTTATCCTCGGTGATTTGCCATGTATTAGGCCATAAGCTCTCTGTAAAACTATCCATATGGCCATCTGCAATTTTCGTATTTGCCATTAAGATGTAAATAGACTTTTAAATCGTCACCATTACTCTTGGCTTTTGTGAAAGATTTACCTCATGAGACACACAAAGTGGACATCTCAACTTAATGCAGTGTCGACAAAAGTACAATCGAGAGGGTGGCGAAAGCGCCGAACAGGAACAAGTCAGTAATACACGTACACCATCGCCTTCGAAGGGCGACGCCATCTTGGATTTTCCTTTTGCCTCTCATTGAGACGAAATGCATTCTGGGTATATTATTGTCGGCTTGGGAATCTGGGTACTAGAAATTGAATAATAGCGCGTTTTGCAACGTTTTGTATTGAATAAACCCTATCAGGCGGTTTGCGATTATTTTTGCAAGAAAGTAATGATCTTTCCATTGAAAAGTACAAATAAAGTTTGAAATAAAGTGTTACAATACCTCTCAAAGTCTTTATTCCTTCGTTCTGTTCCTTTGAGGTCTGCAATTGATGTTATACTTTTCACTCATTTATTAAAAACTGAATCATTGGATAATGCAATTCGAGAGCTCTGATTGGCTTAGCCATCATGGTATATGAGCCATTATACCATGCTCTCTAAATATGCTAACTGCACGGGTCTGCTCACATTGAAAACAAGCTGAAAGTCGGTTGTTTTTACAAATAAGGTCGGGAAGAATTCTCGATATTTTGTGGGCGTTTTTAATGAAACAATTATTTCCCTCGCGCTTGTTGGATATGAGATGATCAAAGCCAACTCGGCTGCTAATTAATTCGGATATCTAAATTGAAATTTAGTTGAACGATCCATTTCAGCAAAACTGACAAGCCACTACATCAAAAGGGCAAGTTCCCGGAAGCCTGAATTCACATCAATGTCTAATACCGGGCCTTAATACCACTCGGTTCCCCTAGCTTGCGTAAAAGGCGTTTCGAGAGCGTTTGGGGCGGGGGTGCGGAGGGCACTCAGTGTTCTCACATTCTCTTAAGGGCTTGTAGCTCCTACGTAAGTCGCGGTATGTTTCCTCTGCAGGGTCTTCTGCAGATTTTTTTTGGACACCAACCTTTTCTAAACTAGCGTCAGGGAGGACTCTTTTAGTAAGGCGGTCAGCGTATACAACGCAGTATCGTTTCCGCGCACCGATGATGCAGTTGGCTGCAAGGCTGTTGGAGGGTTTAAATTCTTTAGGGAGAGGATGGCTATATTTTTTTATTATTATTATTGCTACAGAAGAAGTTGAGACTACCTTTGCGACATGAATGTTTCTTTCTTATTTTATATGAGTCAAGAAAAGAGTCACAAGAAATCTTACCACGCCTTAGAAGCTTATGGGTAAGTAGAAAAAACTTTAAACTGATCCTTACCTCAAAAGAAAAAATATAAAGAGATAAACTTTACCATTTGATTTTTTTTTTCTTTATATTTTTTCTCTCGTTTTTTCTGATGAAAAGATCATTTTACCGTTTTTCTACTTGGCTGGTATTAGGAGGCCTACACACTGATCCGGCTGTCCCCAACCTCGTCCCCAGGGCTTTTCCCACCCATTTTTTAAGGGAAAAGCCCTGGGGACGAGGTTGGGCTGTCCCACCTCACTAGTCTGTTTCTGTGGTCTTCAGTGCCTTTATAAATGTTTTTGGGTAATGTTGTCTCTTTTTGACGGCTAAGAATAAAAAAGCAATAGATGCACTCGTAGAGTTAAGTTTTCGAAACTGCAGGCTACAGGATTCTCCACAAAGCGCCGTTCTAGCTGGAGCTTAGAAAACATAGATCCCGCAAATCGCAGCTATAAGTTGAGTAAAGAGTCAAAACGTGAGTTTGGTCAGTGCTGTTTCGAATAAGCATGAAAATAAAATACAGAACGAAAAGAAGGGGGAAATGAGGAGGGCGAGGGGATGGAAACAAGGACACGAGAAAAAAGTAATATTCGCGTTCATATTTGTTACTAACGACCAGTTATGGATAAGTAAAGATAACACTTCGCAGTAAATCATTTCACTCGTGCTTTATTTTCTGCTGACCTGATCTGCATTACAATGATATCAGGGTCAGTACAAAAGGAAAACGATTCTTGCTCACACGGTGTTTAAACGTGCAACAGCATGCTCATCCAGTTGAACTTCTCCAGTAGTAAGGTCAGTCCTCACCAGGCGATGCTCCACATAGTGACTTTGCAATGGCAATTCGACAGCCTTCTTTGCTCTGTGCAGAAAAAATATATATATTGTGTTGTAACACAAGTCCTTTTTAAACCTAAAGAATGCCACCCACGTGAAGTACTCAAAGTCCAGAATGATCGTTGAAAGTTCGGTTTGACCAAAATATAAACCAGTTACTCGTGTAACCTGCAGTTCTAATAAGCGTTTGGATAATCGGTGGATGCGCTGTTTTTCCTGCTCGATTTTACACCGTCCCCAAAATCTGAGGGCCTGGAACGTTGAGAATGTAACTATATGTAGTTAACCAAAGTATCAAAAAGCTAAAAAAGGAAAAGCACGTCTACTCTTAATGAAACAATGAACGTGAAGTCACTTTCTGTGATGATTAGTAAAACCATTTTCACTTCATAGAACTTTCTATTGCACCAAAGGCCATAATATCTCTTTTGGCATGGTTGAGTTTTCGGAATCTTTCGCTTAATACTCAGTACAGCTGATTTAAAATAATTTGAGAATTTGACTTTTCATTGCTGCGGAGCGACCGAAGGGAGCGAGCAGCAACATAATGAGGATTTAAAGGAAATATACTAGGGTATCTAAAAGATAGTAATGCTGCGGCACATTTTGTTGATACTGGCATTAGTTAGGCAGCGAGACTTAAAAGAATCGAAAATGATATTGAATGTCCCATTTACATGTTGGAAAGTACTAGAATAATTACTATCAGTATAATTACTATAGTTACTAATAATTACTATCAGTATACTATAGAAAGAACTCGTGGGAACGTTGTTTAGAAATGATCAAGTGGTTATAACTCTGGTTTTCCCACAGTAAATTGTAGGAAACAATAGAAATTCAGATTGTTTATCCATATATTTAATATACGGTGCACGATATTTTCTCTGGAAACACAATACTTTTCTTGCTGTTTGTTGCACTTTATTAAGTAACAGTTATTTAGCTATATATTTATAGAAAACAACAACACAAAAAACGGAAAAAAAAGAAAGAAGGAATAATGAATTCGGTAGGACTCGAACCCTGCACCTTCGGCTCGACGCGACTACACCTAACCACTACACCACAGAGACTAATTACGTAATTTGTAGGAAAAGTCTTGCTTTATTCGCTTTCCAGACTTTCCATGAAACTTCCGCCGGCAAGATGATCGCCAGCCGCATTAACCGAGCTATTAACAGTGAAAAAACAACGTAAACGCATATTCCATGGCAATGAATGAATGAAAGAACATAATTATGCTTTTCAAAACGCCGATACACGTCCTCGTCTGCAAAGTAGGACACAAAACATATGTTTTGTTATCTCGATTTCCGCTGTTATTTTGCAGCGAATGGTCAAAATCACATCCATTTTCGGCTCATACAGTTTCTTAAGAATAGCACTGCATGACATTTTCTCACTTTCACATCACCTTCTAGCAAGCTGGAATTTGTAAATCCCCCGTGTTGCGGAGTCGAAGAGCAAATGCTCATCGTCTCGTCAGGTTTAACACCTGGACGAGTCAAAGGCTCTTAAATTGAAATCCAATCCCCAAGTTATAACCATCCTACTCATCTGAAAGACTCCTGCGTGTCTTAAAATTTGGTAAGACCTCTAACCGTGCTGTAGAAAATTTGCCACAAAGAAAACTCTAAGTCTGAGCAGCGAACGATGCACTCTCTCACCCACCGAACTTCCCCGTGTTTTTATTTGAGTTGTTCGTGGCGCAATACACTCTGGTTAAATATGCAATGCATTGTGGTAAAAAGTGTGGCTAAATGCAATGCATTGTGGTAAAAAAGTGATGAATTCGAGAATTCGTCGCCCCTTATATATTTCCTTTAAATCCTGATTATGTTGCTGCTCGCTCCCTTCGGTCGCTCCGCAGCAATTATTATCATTATTACTAGGGTATCTAAAAGATAGTAATGCTGCGGCAAATTCTGTTGATACTGGCATTCGTTAGGCAGTGAGACTTAAAAGAATCAAAAATGACATTGAATGGCCTATTTACATGTTGGAAAGTACTAGAATAATTACTATCAGTCTATAGAAAGAACTCATGGGAACGCTGTTTGGAAAATGATCAAGTGGTTATCAACTCTGGTTTTCCCACAGTAAATTGTAGGAAATAATAGAAATTGAGATTGTTTATCCATATATTTAATATACGGTGCAAGATATTTTCTCTGGAAACACAATACTTTTCTTGCTGTTTGTTGCACTTTATTAAGTAACAGTTATTTAGCTATATATTTATAGAAAACAACAACACAAAAAACGGAAAAAAAAAGAAAGTAGGAACAAATAATTCGGTAGGACTCGAACCCGGCACCTTCGACTTGACGCGACTACACCTAACCACTACACCACACAGGCTGATTACGTAATTTCGGGGAAAAGTGTTTCATTTTATTCCTTTTCTATAAAACATCCGCCAGCAAGATGATCGCCAGCCGCATTAACCGAGCTATTAACAGTGAAAAAACAATGTAAACGCATATTCCGTGGCAATGAATGAATGAAAGAACATAATTATGCTTTTCAAAACGCCGATACACGTCCTGGTATGCAAAGTAGGACACAAAACATGTTTTGTTATCTCGATTTCCGCTGTTATTTTGAAGAGAATGGTCAAAATCACATCCATTTTCGGCTCACACAGTTTCTTAAGAATAGCATTGCATGACATTTTCTCACTTTCACATCACCTTCTAGCAAGCTGCAATTTGTTTATCCCCCGTGTTGCGGAGTCGAAGAGCAAATCATTGAAATGCTCATCTTCTCGTCAGGTTTAACACCTGGACGAGTCAAAGGCTCTTGAATTGAAATCCACTCCCCAAGTTAACCATCGTATTCATCTGAAAGACTCCTGCGTGTCTTAATATTTGGTAAGACCTCTAACCGTACTGTAGAACTAAGCAGCGAACGATGCACTACTTCCCCGTGTTTTTATTTGAGTTGTTCGTGGCGCAATGCACTCCCTTATTGCTGCGGAGCGACCGCAGGGAGCGAGCAGCAACATAATCAGGATTTAAGGGAAATATATAGAAGAGGCGACGA